TTCAGGAGCTGTCACGGCACCGCTGACAGCATCCTAGTGCCCATCCTACATAGGTTCGCGGCGGCATCCCACATGCAGGGGCCCCGTCCCACGCTGGTGCTGCCAACTGCCTGCCTCAGGTCGCGCGTCTGCTATCCGTCCACGCACCCTGGGTATCAAATAAATCTACACTACATCCAGCTTGTACTATGCGCGGCCTGTACTACTTCGATCGTAACATCCCAACATTGCCGCCCATGCTGCCCATGCTGCCCATGCTGCCCATGCTGCCCAATGTCCCCAATTTCGGTCCCATTCACAGCGGAGCCGCGTATCGCTGACCATCGGCGGCCTCAACACGGCCAAGCCGGCCTGTAAAGTTATACTTTCACATTCACGTGCCGTCCATCTTCTCATTGTCGTCATCGTCATCATCGTCCATCTCCTCGTCGGCGTCCTCCCAATCCTCATCTTCTTCGCCGGTAGAGGGACCGAGTGCGTCGTTGAGCTCCTTCAATATCTCATCGGCGTGCTCCTTCAGCCGCTCGTCCTCCCACTCCAGCAGATTGTAGAGCTTGAGACAGTTCTCAAGCCAATCACGACTGGCACGCAGTAATGATGTTGCAACCTTTTCCTCTCCTTCGGTCTTTTGCTTTCCCGCGAGCAAGTGCAGGCACCAACCGCCCAGATACCACGCATCGACACTGCCGTCGTTCTCGCCCACTAACCGCTCTAACACTTCGATGGCCTCGTCTTCCATCTCAGCTTCCATGAGCAGGCGAGAAAGGCTGATACGAGTTGAGTAGTCTGGGACCTTGGGATTATCTGGGTCGAGGTCTTTCCATAGATCCATGCTCCGTGTCAGTGCGGATTTTGCTTCGTCGGGCTTGAGCTGCGAGATGCGTATCGATGCGAGCGTTTGTAGTGGTTCTGGGTTTTCGGGTGCGAAAAGTAGTGCTTCGGTGACGGCAGCGTTGCATCGCGCTTCGGCGTCTTCTTCCCAGGACAGATCCGTCATGTAGACTTCAGCAATACCACAGAGCGAGTTCGCTATCTTTTGTCTCTTCTCCTCCAGCAGCTCCTCGACTTCGTCCTTCTTCACCCGCTTGCCTTCCAGCTCACTGATCTCCCTCTTCAGCACTTCAATGCCCTTCTCGAACCACCGCACACTCTCGGCGCCTCCCTCCTCGTTTAATTGTGCTAGCCATAGGAACTTCTCAGCGCCATCGTTCGCGCCTTCCGGGTCGATTACAATTGCTGCTTGGAAGGCTTCGCGCGCAGAGTCTGGGTCGCCCAGTTCGACGTTGATCTCGCCGAGAAGGTTCAGTGCAGGTAGTGCTGCAGCGGAGGGTTTTGATGTGCCGGGCTGGAGTAGGTTGAGGGCTCTTCGTGCGGCGACCAGCGCTTCTTCGGGTTGTGACGTTTGTAAGAAGGTAGCGGCTTGAATCAAAAGTTCTTCTGGTGACGCCTTTGGTTTCTTCGATTCTTTTACTGCGCCGCTCTTTGCGCTCTTCTTCGCCTTGCGATCGGTAGGTTTCGTTTTCGCCATGATGTGAGATGTGTGTGGTGTTGTGGATGTATGATGTAGCGGTCCAAGATTCCCAAAAATTTCTAGAGATCGGCGGTCGGACGGAGCTAACGTGGGGAAGGCGCGCCCCGCCAGAGCAGCCTCAGCGTCACTTGCAGATGCCATCACTGTACTGATTTCCATACTACTTCACACAATGGGTATCGAAGACCAGAAAGAAGAGCGCGAGGTGCTCGAGTCCATCTTTCCCGACGAGATCACAGGTGGCGCTTTCCTGCGCAACATCTTCTTACTATATACTGACACTCCGCAGATGTTTCCGAGACAGAGTTCCGAATCGCAATAACGCTCGACGATGGCCGCCACGAAGACGTTGAAACAGAAGAAGAGCAACGTATGCGCTTGCATTATCTCTACAGACAGACTTAAACTCATGTCCACCAGCTGTCATCATCCTCAATGTCTCCTACCCGCCCAACTACCCCGACGAAGCCCCCCGACTCGACGTAACACAACCGCCCAACGCGCCACGACACCAATACCTCGACATACAAGAAGACAAGCAACGCCTGCTAGACTCGCTCACGGAGACGATAGAAGAGAACCTCGGCATGGCCATGGTCTTCACCCTCGTAACCGTCCTCAAAGACAGCGCCGAGCTGCTCATAACGGAGCGCCAAAACGCGAAGCAAGCCCTCGTCGATATCGCCAAGGCCAAAGCCGAGGAGGAAGAGAACAAGAAGTTCCAGGGCGAGGCGGTCACACGAGAGACGTTCCTCGCATGGCGAGACAGGTTTAGGAAGGAGATGGAAGATGAGAAGAGGCGGAAGGAAGAGGAGAAGGAGCTGGAGGATAAGAAGAAGAGGATTGTCAAAGAAGAGAAGAAGTTGACGGGTAAGGAGCTGTGGCAGCGGGGCTTGGTCGGCAAGGTGGATGATGATGATGACGACGACGATGGTGTAGACGGAGTGGATGTAGGGAAGTTGAAGATTGAGGCGGCTTCATAGTGACTACAGTGCATTGGCATGGCATGTGAGGTCGAACATATACCCATCTTGCGATGCGCAGATACAGCAAGCCATAATATAGTATATTGTGCTCATGGTTCCGGCTTGACGACGCGTAAAGGATGCCTCTTCCTTCCCCTCACAATCGTCTGTCCCTCCTTGAGCGCAAGTTCAGTCTCCATATCTACGATCCTCTGCATCTTCTTCGTCATCAAGATATCCTTCCTGATGTCCGCCTGGTGTGCTTCCTGGTTCGCCCTCAATGAATCACGAACCGCAGTTTGCCATTTCACACTATCTTCGCGCTCCTTCGATTGCGCGGTTATGAGTACGTCCCACACATCCTCCTGCTGACATATGGGCAGCCACCAGTTTTCCAGGAGGACCCTCGTGTCGAAGAGCTCGTTCTTGCGCCGTAGTCGCTGCTGGATGACGCGACTCAGTGCTGGGGGTTGCGGCTTCGTGAGGCGCAAGAAGGGTACACCGTTTGCGGAGGCGAGGATGGGGACGCGGCGGGGTCCAGAGGTTTTTGCGTAGGGTCGCACGTTGAGGACGGCTCTCTCGGGTGGAAGGCACGCAAGCCGTTCTTTGGGAGAGTCTGGTAGCGTCGTCTTTTCGTACCGTCTTATGGGAGGGGCGCGTGTTAGACCGCGGGGCAATTGGGATATCAGTTGCGTCAGAGTGCTTGCGCTGGCTGTATTGCCAGTAGCGGAGGCATCGAGATGGTCGAGTGTCTATACATTGTCAATTGTTGAATTCAAAACTGTAGTAACATAGACCAACCTCATAACCAGCTTTGAAGCTCAGACCCAATTGATAAGGGCTCTGTATCTTCCTGTTCCGCCGGAACTTGTTGCGAACGGCGTTGAACAAAGAGACTCGATCGTCATCTGGGAGCGGAGCGGAGGAACATCGCGACAGCAAGGCTCGATAAAGAGCGATTGCTAGAAACGATGTTAGATTTTATTGGTAGTTACCGAAAGGCACAACGTCTAACCTGCTACGCGGTGTTGTGTCGACCGTTTAGGCTGGAGGAATCGGGGCATGCATGAGATGGCTCGGTGGTGGAGGTCCGAGGCCTGCGCCGCAACGCGAAGGATTTGGGCTGGGATGTTAGATATCACGTGCGCACCACCTCTTTCCAAAGTACAACATTGCGCGTATACAGGTGCTCGATATTCGCCAGGCTGGTAACTGACTTTAATATTCTGCGGTGAGAGCTTCCTCGGAGACTCCGCAAAGAACGAGACAGGAGCAAAATGAAGTAATATAAGTTGTTGATAATCCTGATCTCTTGTCAGGCTGTATGGCTACGCTAGCAGACCATAACTCCGTTCCATGCGCATTCATTTCCTTCGTGCATCATATCTTATGCCCATATCATGCCTGATCCTTAGTTCTTTTCTGGAGCAGGCTGTGCGCGTTCTTCTAGAACATCGCGCCTTCAGGTGGCTGTGGAAGCTTCTTGTTCTGAGGCAGCGCCATATACCTGTTGCGCAATTAGTATTGTGCAAATCAATTTCAGCTTTAAGGGTGTGCTAACCTTCGGAGCTCTATCAGTATCGTCTCCATGGTGAAATCGCGCTTCCATTGAGCCAGACATGGCAGCTTCGACCCATCGACCTGATATCGTCAGTATGCGCCCAGCATCTACGCCTCCGACTATCGCACCTTTCCGTTCTGAGGATTGACGCAGGGTAGGTTGATCTTGGTTGTGAACTTGATCTCCGGAGGAGTGTCGGGGTAGTCAGGGCCGCAGTGGATCGATACGCTGTAAATGCGATTCTCGTGGACGCTCTGCGACGTGGTCAGCATACAGCATATGACATGGAGAAAGGAGCACATACGTGTGGTGGGCCGAGGATAGTACCGTTCCAGTCGGACATCAGCAGGTCGTCGCCATTGTCAAGACCGTATGAACAGGCCTCTGTAAACTCTCAGTACCCTGTTACCCACGGCTATACCACAGATCTACCATACCGGCACCGAGACCCTTCTCGCCCTTCTCGAGCTCTTCCAGCAGGCGGAAGTTGCGCGGAACCTTAGCGCCCATAGTAGCGGTGGGTATGTGTGAAGGCTGAACAGAAGTGTGGCGCGTGAGGAAGTGGGATGGACCCCGCTATGCGATAGTGGCAGCTGTTGACGGTTGTGGAGAGTTTTGATTGAGCTTTGTAGCTAATGTGGTTAGAGTGTAAGTTGCTGGCAGTATACTCGACTCAAGCGCAATTGTAAAGTTCTGGGTGGCAGCAGGATGGATGTTTGTCTAAACATGTCTGTCGGGCCCGCTAGCGCCGATGGCTATGACGAGGCACCCGCCCGGGCGTGGACCAGGGTCTCACCTGGCACGCGTGAATCGCTTGGCCCGTCGCCCCAGACGCGACAACGTTGCCTTTAGCGATTCGACAGAATAACAACCCAATACCCAACTCTCAAGTCACTCCTTTGCCTGGAAGGACCGTCCAGATGCTTCGGCTCATACCAAAAGAATGACAGCTCAAATCTTGGCGGCTGAACTAGGCAACCTCATACAGGATGCAAAACGCAAGAATACCGAGCTACGCAATGCTGCAGAGACGGCCTTGAAGGAATTGAAGTCGCTTTCCAATACTTCAGAGGCCCAACTCTCGGCTGGTGAGATGCCTACTGTCACTTGATCTGCACGTGTTGACGGAATCAAGATCTCTCGCGACGACCACATTTCATCTCGCCCTTCTTGATTGCCTGCGGAACTCAAAATGCCAAATTTGCATCTACTGGAATTTCATGTCTCCAAAGACTCAGCGTTTCGCGAGCATTGCCACGGGAACGGCTAACAGAAGTGCTTGAAGCGTTCAAGCAATCTGTACCATCAAGTAAAAAGACCGAGCAGGATGCTTCAGACGTAGCTAACGCTGCCAGGCCATGATATCCAGCTGAAGATACTGCAGGCGCTACCTTCATTGCTTCAGAACTACCCCGCGGAAATACGCAGCGAGTCATTATCTGCTGTTCTGCAAATATGTTCAAGTCTCCAAAATGCGAAGAACTTCGCTGTCAGCAACACGGCCGCAGCCACGTTGCAACAGTTGGTGATTGTCGTATTCGATAGAGTCGCGTCCGAAGATGGTATGATGCTGAGTCAGGGAACACACATGTTATAGGCTGACCAAATGCAAAGAGAAAGCCTTAGAGATACCCACAGTGACCGAGGTGAAAGGCGATGATGGCCAAGTCTCAGTCAGACCAGCAGCGAACGATGCTTACAAGGTCCGTCATCTTCATAAATGCCAGTAGCTTTACTGACGGAGTTTAGATGTTTACCGATCTCATTGCACTCATCGTTGGAGAGAAGCCAGTCTTCATGCGATTTGCTTCGCTGCCGCCAGCCTCGACGCTGGAGCTGATCGAAGCAATCTTGTCGAACCACAACAAAATTATGACGACGCATCCGGAACAGATTTACATTATGCGAACCCAGTTAATGCCGCTGATCATCCGCTCTCTATCCGATCGTTTGTCCTTTGCGGTGACTGTACGCATCATTCGGATACTACATCTGATCATTCGGTATCATCTTGACACGCTTCCCTCCGAATGCGAGATTGCGCTCGGTCTTTTGAACCATATGCTCGATCCTGAGGCCTCTCAGGCATGGAAGAGAGTTCTTTGTCTCGAGGTGTTCCGCAGCATTTACGCCGATTCCAGACTTCTCCTAGCAATCTATGCCTTATTCGATGCAGAAAGCGGAAAGAAGAACATATTTGGAGACAACCTAGCGGCTTTCGTGCGCCTTGCGACTGAAAAGCCATCGGCGATTGGCTTAGGTCAGCAGTCAACAGCTGCCGCTGGTTTTGAAGAAGAGGTATCGGATCAAGCTGTCGCTGAAGCGGGCGCATTAGCTGGCGTCATAGGTGGTTCTGTGAGCGATACTAGCAACCATGTTCGTCCATCTGGCATCAGTATGCAATGGAGTTCTCTCAAAACTCCATGCATCGAACACCTCGACAAAACCGACCCACCTGCATTACCCGAAACGTACATCTACAGTCTGGTGTTGACATGTATCACCAACATTTCTGAAAGTCTCGCAAAATTCGTTCTTCCTCTTACTGTGCATCATGAGAGCAGAAGCCGGAAGAAAACCAAAGCCGAGGAAATGAATGAAGACGACACGGATGTCGCATCGCCAGATCGAAACAATCGAAAGCTTTCGAGGACTCATTCTTTCCGCAAAAAGACTATACCAGTCAATCCTCTGGATCTGACCGATCATCCGGCTTACTCATACGTGCAGACCTCGACCAACCTGGTCACGGAATGCTGGCCTGCAGTCCTTGCAACCTGCTCAACATTCCTTAATGCTACGCTTGATACGGACTATTACAGAGCTCTGATCCGAGCCATACAAAAGTTTACTCAGGTTGCCGGACTGCTCAGACTCTCAACGCCACGAGATGCATTCCTCACTACTATGGGTAAAGCAGCTGTCCCATCGAACTTGCTGCTAGCCAACGCTTCGTCTCCTACTAATGAGAAGTCTGGGATCTTCTCTAATGCGAGAGGGATGCTCAGTGTGGACAGCTTTGTGAGCCAAGCTTCCTCAATGTCCACCGACAAGAACAGGCGCCCTTCACACGATGTTACAGCCCCCACGCTGGGCCCTCGCAACTTACTGTGCCTGCGGGCTCTACTCAACCTTGCAATTGCACTAGGACCAACGCTACAGTCAGCATGGTCTATCGTCTTTGAGACGCTACAAGTAGCCGATCTAGTGATGGCGTTGTCGAGCCAGAACAGCAGTCGCGCATCTGGATCTGGAAGCCGTGCGGACATGGATACCAATACAGAGAAATTAGAGGCAGAGACCTCAGCCGTCCAGAGTGCTGCGCGCAGGCTCTTTGAAAGTACAGTTGACTATCCTAATGAGTCCTTTTCCGAGGTACTACAAGCGCTTTGCTCACTACTGAACGGGGTATCATCATCAGAGAGCGGACAAAGAACACCGATTACCTCCAGCCGTCCTCAGGTTTCACATCGGCGTCTCGGTAGCGCATCGGGAATCGGTCTCAACACAGATGCTAACTCTCGCGACTCGGCATTTGCGTTGAACAAGATTGGAGAGCTGGCGTCATTGAACGAAAGCAGGTTGTCGCAATATGATCCCGCTGATAGTGGATGGGACATACTGATTCGAGAGGTTATACGCTACTCCACTGACAGTCGAAAAGCGACGCCTACAAGGCTGCTGGCAGCCGACATCTTAGCAAGGACAGTTAGGGAGATCGCTGAGCTCTCTATGTCCGACGACCAACGCGAAGAAATACAGGCTCGCATACTTGCAGCACTGCAAAAGCAGATTACCGACCTCCATCATTATGATGGGATCAACAAAGACACGATCAGCGACACTGATATACGGGTACATCAAATAGCTCTAGAAGCACTCAAAAGCGTGATTGAGCAATGCGGCGAGTCCTTGGTTGCTGGCTGGACCTCTGTCATTGAGAGCTTGATGAGCGTTTTCACCCAAAAATTGCCATTAGCGCAGGGAAATCCAGAAGACGCCAAAACCTCTGGAAACAGTCAAGCCACAAGTTCCACTACAGATGTCATATCAAGATCTCTTGCTCGATCGGCATTTGCGACAGCCAATCTCGTCTGCTCGGATTTCATGACTGCTGTTCCGGATGCTTGCCTCTCGACGCTCTTAGAACTCTTGCGCAGGTTCTGCTCTCAAAGAGAGGATTTGAACATGTCTCTTACCGTGAGTGATTCTTTTTCAAATGCGTGACGCGTATCTAAATTGTTACAGGCGATCACCTTCTTTTGGAATGTGTCAGACTACCTCCAGTCGCGGACTGATCTGTCCTCATTGGCGGAGGTTGTTACTCAGACTAGTGGCAAGAACGGCGTCGAAGATGTTGTAAGCACACATTCACGAGAAGGAAAGACTGCGGCATTGTGGCTCCTAGTTCTGCTAAATCTCTCATCCATCACAACGGATGAACGCATCGAGGTGCGGCACTCTGCGATCCAAACTATACAGAGGATCTTCGAGAACTGTTCAGATCAGTTGTCATCGGAAGTTTGGTTGCTTTGCCTTCGTACAATCCTGTTCGCCATGGTGGAGGCCAATTTGAACATCCAGAATGATGTTCGGATACAAGCTTCCCGCAAAGACGACCACAAGGAATGGGATGAGACTACAAGAGTGGTTCTTCAGACCCTGACCGTTCTCAACACGACCTACATGGAAAAGTTGGACACGTCTCAGCTTGGTGACGCATGGTCAGAGCTACTGGAACTCGTGGACCGCTACTTCGAATACCATTCGCATGCGCTAGGGGCTTCGGTGTTCGCCACAATGACAGGTGTTCTCTCCCACACCGAAACTGCTCAGGTATGGAGTACCGATTCTCTTCTCAAGACTGCAGCGGTATGGAGAAGCTACTTCTCCTCTTCAGACGCTTGGCAAGAGGTACACGAGGAGGACAACCAAGACGCTTTCATCGCGTATGCAGAGGCTTTCAAAGCGATCTACCGCCTCTCTGATCGGCTCCTTAACAAGGATCTGCCTTTGATGCTCGCGAACCTCGAAGCTTGCGTTGTCAACTCGGACGAAGTCGCTTACTCTTCGGATCTGGACACTATGACCACTCTCCAGCATCGAGTGATGGAATGCTTAAGGATGGTCAAAACGGAAGAAGACAACGACATTCCACCGTATCTGATACGCATGTTGGGCCGGTTCATTACGCTGCCATATACCTCCTTGGCTAAGTTCCCAGAAAAGCGCGGGCCAACCTTTGTCGCACTCTCAAAAGCCTCAATGACGCTACTGCAAGATATCGTCGTCAAACATGTTGAGCTGAAAGAGATCTATACGACTGATGCACTGTCATTCGCTTTTACCAGTCTGGCACAACCGATTGAAGAGAAGTACGTGTGGCAACGAGAGGGTCGAGCACCGACCTTATGGCAAAAGGCTACAACAACATCTACAGCTATACTTGAGTCGGTATTGCCACACGTCAACTCCAATCAGGATATCTGGACCACCCTTGTCAATATTGCGCACTGCATCACGCGTGCACAGTCGTTGCCCAATACCTCCGCCTCTCTAGAAAAGGACGAACAGTTCGACATCCAAGCTTTCGCTCATTTTCGCAGTTTAATTACCCTACCACTAGGCTCGACTTCTCTCCCACATAGTCTCCGTCAAAGCCACGCGCGCAATCTCTTCAGCACATCTCTGATAAACAGTCCTCTATCCGGAGAGTTACCCGACATTAGCACCTCTCCACTCGAGGAGCTTTACAAAACACGATTAGGGCAAACTGCCGAGCTGAACTACACCTGGCGACCAGACATGAGCTATGTCTGTCTTTCCGAGCTCTTCAATCTCGTCGCCGTGAACGATAGTAGTCGCGAACGTATCTGGCTGGCCAAAGCAGCAGCCCCATACCTCATCTTGAGATGCGCACTTCCCCTCAAGACGTATATCGCAGACCAGCCCCTTCGCGGTCGTATGCCGGCGCCAGAGTCGCAGAGACGCGAGTTGCTCTTTGTATTAGAGCAACTGGAACAGTTGGAAAGCGAGCCGCAGGCTATACCTGATGCCCCGGGTGTTAGGTCACAACATAGGAGACATTTGCATAGGTTGTACCCGTTGCTTCTCAAAGCGACGAGGGTAGCTAGGCAGGATGCTGAGGTGTTTGAACACTTGGCGAAGCTGACTGATCTGGTTGGGGAGGAGTTTGGGTTAGACGATGACTGAGAGGTAGATTAAGCCATCAAATGAGCATTTCTCCCTTTTTTGAAAGCTACTGTGCACATGTGATACCCTGGTTGTCCGATGAGACCAAGATTCTTATATTCAATGGGTAATGGCTTAAAGTAAACCTTGGGAAGAACGAGGGCCTTCGTACTTTGTACAGCGGCTCGGGCTAAGCGGATCCTCCAGGGCTTCCATCCCCGCAAAAGCACAGACATCGGAGACATCTAACAGCTCCACACATTTACTTCTTGTCGCGGAACACTCGCGCGCAGGCGGAATTAACCATGAGCGCCGCATCGCCAGCAGACAGGAATAATGCGAGCGATACCATGAGTCCGCCAAACGAATCCGGCAGTAGCGCAAAGCGGAAACACGAGAATGGCACGCCCGTCCAGCGCGCGAAGCGTAAGTAAGCCCGTCGTGCATGAGATGGCATGCGACCCGACACTGACTCTGTCTACCCTTCTCAGGTAACAGGTATATCAGCATCGCGTGTAATGAGTGCAAAAGGAGGAAGATCAAGTGCAATGGCGAGACGCCATGTCAGCGCTGCGGGAATCTCAACCTGGAGTGCGCCTACGCTCCCAACTGCTGCAACTCGTTCAAAGACAGCGACGAGTTCAAGCAGATGTCGACGCACATAACTTCTCTCCAGCAGCAGGTTGACGATCTCTTCCAGAATCTCAGCGCGCTCCGGGCCCAGGTCGACGTACAGAGCAACGGCTCCATCGGCACGCCCTTCAATCCAGACTACCAGCAGACGCCAATGCTGCCTCCTCCCTCCGCCCGCTCGCGATCGAAATCCTTCAGCAAGCACCCCCGCTTCCACGGCCCGACGTCGAACGCATTCAATGTAGGGGTGGCGAGGTCGAGCCTGAAGACTATGGGCATAAACGCTGGCGAGGAAGGCGAAGACGACGGCATCTTGACCCGCGACGCGACACCCAGGGCATCGCCTCCCATACCCAACGCTATGATGCCGAAACGCGCCCTACACGCGGATAAAGACCCCATATGGTCCATCTCGAAGCACGAGGCTATCCGCTTGGTGCATGTTTGGCACGAGGAGATGGGTATCATGTACCCCATCCTGGAAGTCGATAGACTGCAACGCTATGCCGAGATGCTGTTTACCTTTGTGGAAGCAGCGGCCAGGTCGGGTTTGATGCAAGGCGCTCTTCCTGGGTCGGACGCAATGGTGGACGACCAGATTAGCGTGCTGAAGCTCGTTCTTGCTATAACCCTGGTTCTTGAAGGTGGTGGGAAGGATCCGCTCGGCGAGAGGCTCTTCGAGAACGTGCATAAGATCGTTGACAAGGCCTTGTCTGAGCCTGTTAGCCTCCATGGAATCAACTTGTTGGTGCTGACAGTAAGTAGTATGTTCGGTGTAACTGGACTCTGCTTACAGACCTAGGCTATGTATCACTTCACTCGGGACGACGAAGCCATGGCATGGCGAGTGATTGGCCTGGCGGCACGACACTGTCTGGAGTTGGGTTTACATCGTCGAGACACTTATGTGGCTCTCTTCCCTGACCCTGAAGAGCAAGCGGCGGCGATCCGGACGTTTTGGACTATCTACGTACTGGACCGTCGGTGGAGCTTCGGCACTGGCATGCCTTTTGCTCTGCAAGACGCGGATATTGACACTAATGTTCCGAAGCCGGATATATCGACGCACGAATCCACGCCGTATCTCAATGCCATGATCCAGTACTCTGTCATCGGTTCGAAAGTATGGAAGTCTGTCGCCGATGTAGGACACCAGGATAAGATCAACAAGGACGATATCTCTTTTCTTGACTTCCAGGTTCTGAACTGGCACCGTAGCATACCGGAAACTCTGAAGTTCGTTCATCCAGACAGCGGTAGACAGGTTGACCCTCCTGCACGGGTCGTCCATCGTCTGCAGGTCGTGCTCTACCTGCGAGCCAACCAGATGCGAATTCTCATTTACCGCCCAGTATTACATACCGCAACTACCATCATGGAGAACCTTGACTTTGCGCACGTCGTAGTCAAGGTTGCCAAAGACACCATCCGCATACTGACATATATCAACCAAACTTCAGACATCTACAGAAGCCAGCAGACCATGTTCAACTACTTCCTGATATCGGCGCTGGCGGTACTCTTCCTAGCTGTAGCTCACGCGCCGGCCGAATTCAGCCAGCAGTCTCGCGACGAGTTCTACATGGCGCTTGAGCTTGTCCGTGGTCTTTCGTCGAACTCATACGTCTCGAAACGCTTGTGGAGAACGATCAAGACGATCAAGGAAGTTGGACCCCGTCTCGGACTAGTCATACGCAACGATGACACTCACGATGCGCACTCTTCCGCTGCTGTCGCAATGGCGGGCCTTGCAGGTCACTCGATGGATGATCTTGCTCTGTTTTCGAATGGCCGTAATGGACCTAACCTCGATACACCGCATGGAATGGCTAGCGATTTGACGACGTTGTTTGAGGCCGCTGGGGGTATATTCAATCTCAACGGCTTTGGGGGAGCAGGGAGTGAGCTGCCCAACTCAAATGGAGAGTTTGTGAACGGTTTCTCACATGAGAATGACGAGCTGGCGAGGATATTGAGGGACTTGTTCTGATGTCCGGGCATAGCTGTTGGGCTACCATTCTTCTGATATATCATGGACACTTACGTCGCTCTTGTAATACTCACTACGTACTTGAAATAATATTCTGTAGGTATCAGTACATTCGTGATTCCTCTGCACTGTACCTAGCACCTGCAAGTTCGCAGGGCCTGGCTAGATCACGTGGTACCCAATCGCTAAGCTCGGGCAACCTGCGATCTTCACCTGCCAAAACACAGCTTCAAACATACACCTGCGACGCCTGACGATCGGCCGTACTGATAGAGAGGCAAATTCGGCGCACAGAAACTTTAACGCCCTCCCATCAGGCTCTGCGCTCGCTCGACCCCTCCCCCACCGGCCTCACCTGGATTACGACTTTCGCCGAGCCCTTCCCTGTCCGCTACCCCAACGCCAACTCACATGCGATAACAAGGCTGCAAGTGCAGCTTCGCAAAAGAAATATACCCTCACACTCAACCGTGCTCTCCTCCCCGGCACCCTTCGCTTTTGTCTCGATTGCGAACCATTACCCCCACATTCGCATTTTCGAACCCCTCGCCCTTCGTATCCACGCACGCATTGCGGCTGCGCGTCATAACCTGAGCCGCGTCTAGACAGCGGCCCCGACGCCCTTACACCCCAGACAGCATGTCGTCCTCTTCGCAGGTGACCGAGTCGTGGATCGCGTCCTTCTGCGGGCTCCTGGGTCACGAGTACTTCGCCGAGGTGTCAGAAGACTTCATCGAGGATGATTTCAACCTGACGGGCCTGCAATCGCAGGTGCCCATGTACAAGGAAGCTCTGGAGATGATACTGGACGTGGAGCCGGAGGACGACGAGGACGAGGAAGACGAGGAGGAAGAAGAGGATGAGGAAGACGAGATACTGGGCGATGAGCGAGCACCGGGCTACCGACGGGCTGGCGACCGAAGACATCTCCGCATAGCCTCTGATCTTAGTGTGATAGAGAGCTCCGCCGAGCTGCTCTACGGGCTCATACATCAGCGCTACATCACCTCGCGACCAGGCATACAGCAGATGGCTGAAAAGTACGAGCTCCAGCACTTTGGCACCTGCCCGCGCGTAAACTGCAACTCGTGCAAAGTCCTGCCAGTCGGCCTCAACGACAGTCCTGGCCACGAAACAGTCAAGCTGTTCTGCCCTTCCTGCCTAGACGTATATACCCCGCCCAACTCGCGCTTCCAGACCGTCGACGGAGCTTTCTTCGGCACCACCTTCCCCTCGCTCTTCTTCATGACCTTTACCGACCTTGACATTGGCGGCGGGCTGCGCAACAACGCGTCAAACACAGTCGATGCCCTACAACAATTACAATCGCAAAGCACCGACGGCAAGTCGCGGAATACCACACCCTCAAACGTCACCTCGATCAACGGCGTCGCACCGCACAACCTCGCCCCCGGCCTCGGCACAGGCAGCATCTACGAACCGCGCATCTACGGCTTCCGCGTCAGCGAGCGCGCACGATCAGGGCCGCGGATGAAATGGTTACGGATGCGGCCCACAGACGTGACCGAGCTCGACGAGACGAGAAGATACTGGGAGGAGCACGACGAAGACGCAGACCGGCCCGACGACGATGACCTCAACATGGTCGACGTAGCAGAAGGCGGCAAGGGCGCGCCAGTAGACCGAAGAAAGAAGGCAATCCGCACACGACGACGGCCGACAAACGGCTCAAACGCCGGAGGGGGCAGCCCAATGGACACGAACGGTGTCGGCGCAGCGGCGGGCTAGATGTCCGAGCCGCGCTTTGTCAATCGTGACCCCCTGCGTGCCGTGTTAAGACATGGTGAATGGTACGAAGAGGGCTGATGCCCAGATGGCGGGGAAACACACAATACACATTACTATGGCCTTTGCAGCCCCCCGCGAAATGAGAAAAAGGGCGCGAGTCAAAATGGAGAGGGGGGGCATCATGTGCACTTGAGTTTGGCTTAGTTGCAAAGAACGTCCCTCTCTCTTTCTCTCTTTCTTCATCGTCACTAGTTTCACGCTTTTCACACTACAAAGGAAAGGAGCATGGTGGGTTTGGGACTCTTGCGTCGAGGTTAGTTTTTTCTTCTTGTTCAAGTATTGTTCAGAGACGTATGAAGAGTGGTGGAGTGGGGGTTTTATAGCAGATTCTTGGTATGTGAGTCGATGAGCTTGGATGCCGAAATGAGAATCTTTAAGAGTTTACCTGTTCGTGGTTTTTGATGTGCGGAGTTGGTGCTGTGAGTGATGTTATGGTGAGTGTGGGGTTGCTGGGCATGCTTTGGGAAGCTGTTATGCGAGATCGATAGAACAGGGCATGTGTATACGAAGCTCAGCGATCACAAGTGTCACAGCAGAACATAGTCATTAACAGCATGTTCAACATCTACACAAGCAGGGCTATTACCGT